TTCACCTTACCACTTCGTGAGAGAAAGGACCGCCTGAACAACTTGAGTGCTGCCGCTTGGTTCTGCAGCTCGCTTCGACAATCTCGCAAAGCGTGTGAAACAGGGCTCCCCGGTTACATAGAACATACTGCAGGAATCACAATATCGGGACCGGCCAAGAGGGGGGTGTCCAAGAGGGGGGGGGTGCAAATCATGACCAGCGGCACGTGCGCGGCCCAGCGGGGGGGGGCAGGGACGCAATGAAACAAGAAGAGGCGCCATGAAATCTGGGGAAACATCATGGCCCCCGCCATGATATCCCCCCCCCTTGTCATCACCCCCCTCTTTGCCGCCCCCGACAATCGTCGGAATTACAGATTACGTGTGTGCAATCGCTCCGGGATCTCTCTCGGTCGGTCGGGCATTCGAACAAGCGGGTCAATTCATTCACCTGTTCACGTCTACGCACGAAAGGCTGTAGTCTCTCTCTCTCACACAGCCTTCTCCACTATGCTGGTACTTCAGTCCCGCAGCTCCTGCTCCCGAACACAAGTGAAAGCCGCCCCTTGGTCCAGTCGGGCGCGCCGTCGCACGAATGGCTCTGGCCTCGCACACGTGGCACGCACTGGTGAGCGTGCGCTCCACGTCACCAGCTCGAGCTCACGAGCTCGGATGAAGCCCAAGATCGCCGCCTCGTCCTCCGAGGCGGCCTGCACGTCGGAGCTCGTCCCAAAATTATTCTCACCAGGATCAACGCAAGTAGAAATGAATCCTCCTCCAGGCAAAGCTCTAACGCCCTCCTCCGACTCTGGATCAAACGGCCTGGCTGCACAGGAAGCGCTGGTGTTCCGAGGGCTCTCTGCTGCCCACTTCTGAAAACGCTCGCACACATTCTTCTGGATGACTCCGTCGAGCGCGATGTGGCGATTGCGCTGTCGGCAACGAAGGTAGGGTGGCCAGCCAGGGAGCTGAAAAACCGAGCTCCGCACGTGCAGCGGATATCAGCACCACATACTGCAGGATCGCGGATTGGTTCCCAGCTGCCCCCCCCCCCAATGACGAAAACTGGGGCCTCCGAATCGCAAACCAGTGAACTTGACGTCACTTCCATCGCCATCAGTTGCATCCGCCGCCGCCACGGGGCGCACCAAACGGGGCCCTTTCGCAGCACGCCGCAACACTCCCGAAAGGGGCGTGCAGGAGGTCTACGCCTTCTGCCTGCGACTGCCCTACGACATTCCGCCGCAGCCAGTCCGCTGGCGCTAGCGGCCCGCGCGGACCTGAGCGATCAAGGCAGGCAGTCCCGCCGTTACCCGGCCGGCGACGTCCTTCTCCACGCCCAGCAGCAACCCTACGAGGCCGAGGAGGTAGGTGTACTTGGCCTGGAGCTGGTCCCGGTTCGCCAGCAGCTTGCGGATCAAATGTTCAAATGACTCGATGGCCCGCGAACGCCGCAGGCTCCGCGCTGCCGCCTGGCTCCCATGCACCTGCCACGCATCTGGAGCAGTTCCCGCAGCCATTCTCAACAGCTTTCCACGAAGAGTGCGGAATCGGCATGCCGACGCGCGCGTTAGCGGGCTTAAGCCAGACTTGAGCCAGGGTTACGGATTTCCTCCTCCTCCTCCTCCTCCTCCGCCTCCTCCTACTCCTCCCCCCTCCTCCCCCCACTCCTCCTCCTCCTCCTCCATGTCCTCCTCCTCCTCCTCCTCCTCCTCCTCCTCCTCCTCCTCCTCCTCCTCCTCCTCCTCCTCCTCCCCCTCCCCTCCTCCTCCTCCTCCTCTCCTCTTCCTCCTCCACCTCCTCCTCCTCCTCCTCCTTCTCCTCCTCCTCCTCCTCCTCCTCCTCCTCCTCCTCCTCCTCCTTCTCGTCCTGCTCATTATCCTCCTCCTCCTCCTCCTCCTCCTTCTCAACCCACTCCTCCTTCTCCTCCTCCTCCTCATCATCATCATCAGCATCAGCATCACATCAGCATCAGCATTCAGCATCATCACATCACACCATCATCACCATCATCATCATCATCATCATCATCATCATCATCATCATCATCATCATCATCCTCATCCTCATCCTCATCCTCATCCTCATCCTCATCCTCATCCTCATCCTCATCCTCATCCTCATCCTCATCCTCATCCTCATCCTCAACATCATCGTCCTCTTCCTCCTCCTCCGCCTCCTCCTCTTTCTCCTCCTTATCCTTCTCCTCTTCCTCTTCTTCCTCCTCCTCCTCCTCCTCCTCTCTCTCCTGATCCTCGACCTCGTCGTCCTCGTCGTCCTCGTCGTCCTCCCCGTCATCGTCGTCCTCGTCGTCCTCGTCTTCCTCGTCGTCCTCGTCGTCCTCACCGTCCTCGTCGTCTTCGTCGTCGTCGTCCTCCTCCTCCTCCTCCCTCCTCCTCCTCCTCCTCCTCCTCCTCCTCTCCCCTGCTCCCCCTCCTCTTCCCCCTCCTACTCCTCTGTCTCCTCGTCCTGTTCCGTCTCCTCCTCCTCCTCCTCCTCCTAACCCATCCTCCTGCTCCCATTCCTCCTCCTCTTCCTCCTCCTCCTCTTCCTGCTTCCTCCTCCTCCTCCAGCTCCTCCTCATCATCATCATCACCATCAACATCACCATCACCATCACCATCAACAATACCATCACCACCATCAGCATCATCATCATCATCATCATCATCACCATCATCACCATCATCATCATCATCATCATCATCATCAGCAGCATCATCATCACCGTGATCATCATCATACTCATCATCAGCAGCAGCAGCATCAGCAGCATCAGCATCAGCATCATCATCATCATCATCACAAATCATCATCATCACCACCATCACCACCGTCACCATTATAATCATCATCATCATCATCAGCAGCAGCATCATCATCATCATCATCATCATCATCATCAGCATCGTCATCACCATCATGATCATGATCATGATCATGATCATCATCATCATCATCAGCAGCATCATCATCATCATCAACATCATCATCATAATCATCATCATCAGCAGCATCAGTATCACCATCATCAGCATCATCATCACCATCATCCCCTTCCTCCTCCTCCACCTCCTGTTCCTCCTCCTGCTCCTCCTCCTCCGCCTCCTTCTCCTCCTTATCCGCATCATCGTCCTCATCCTCCTCTTCTCCCTCCTCCTTCTCTACAATTACACAACATGAATACTACCCTGCTCTCTCCCCTAACAACGTCCAGACGACTTCCCACCCTCCTCCGCGTACGGTGTTTTTTACACGCAGGATTCCCGGGACATGTGTTTTCGCTGGGGTAGTTTGCAAAATATGTTGCTCCCGCTGAAGAGCTGGCCACATTTCTTCGCCTCTGGCTGTTCCAAATCGCGCTCCCGCTGCAGCGCGGGCGTTTTTTGTCCTTCCAAATAAGCACCAAAATGTTTGAAATGCCCCCCCCCGAAAAAACACATCGGAAGTGAATACACATTCGGTGCCGATTCGTTGATTTTGGGCCGCAGACGCCCCCGCCCTTGGGGCGTCGTCGCTTTCAGGAAATGTCAAGCGGGAGCCCCGTTTCTGCTTTGAGAGGGCGATGTCGAACGCAGCGCCAGCGGGTCCTCTCCATCAGCCCCGCCTTGTGTAGAGCTTTTCGGGGAGCGCAAGGAGCTAGACATGGAATCGCAACTCCAGATCGGCCCAGGCCTCTCGAAGACGATCCATGCACCCTCCAAGGAACTTGGTGCCATGCCATATGCTGCGCGGTATTGTATTCTGCGCCGCTGTGCGATGTCATGCTTTGCGTTGCAATGTTTTGTGATGCAATGCTTCACTGCGCAATGCCAAGCCATGATTTGGCATGCTACGCTGTGTCGTGTTCTTCTACGCCATGCCATGCCGTGCTCCACCAAGCATCGCGTACCCTCTCGCGATCATTGCCCTGCTCGACATCCGACTGTGCGAATAGAAAAGATATATATACACGCCATGGTAAGGGATGGGAGGGAGGAAAAGGTCAACAGATAAGACGCGAGTGCACCTAGCTTGTCCTCCTCCCACTCCTCCTCTTACTCCTCCTCCTCCACGTGCCCGCCTAATCCTCCTCCTCCTCCCCCTCGTCCTCCACCTCCACCTCCTGCTCCTCCTCCGCCTCCGACTCCTCCTCCTCCTCCTCCTCCTTCTCCTCCTCCTCCTCCTCCTCCCCTTCCCCCTTCCTCCTCCTCCTCCTCCTCCTCCTCCTCCTGCTCCTCCTCATCGTCCTCACCCTCCTCCTCTGGCTCCTCCTCCTCCTCCTCCTCCTCCTCCTCCTCCTCCGTCCTCCTCCTCCTCCTCCTCCTCCTCCTTATCCTCGTCATCGTCCTCATCCTCCTTCTCTCCTCCTCCTCCTCCCCCCTCCTCCTTCTTCTCTCCTCCTCCTCCTCGTCCTGGTTCTCCTCCTCCTCCTCCTTCTTCTTCTCCTCCTCTCCTCTCCTCCTCCTCCTCCTCCTCATCCCCCTGCTCCCCCTCCCCCTTCCCCTCCTCCTCCTCCTCCTCCTCCTCCTCCTCCTCCTCCTCCTCCTCCTCTCCTCCTCCTGGTCCGCCTCCCCTTCCTCCTCCTCCTCCTCCTCCTCCTCCTCCTCCTCCTCCTCATCATCATCATCATCGTGCTCCTCCTCCTCCCCCTCCTCCTCCTCCCCCTCCTCCTCCTCCTCCTCGTCCTGGTCCGCCTCCCCTTCCTCCTCCTCCTCCTCCTCCTCCTCCTCCTCATCATCATCATCATCATCATCATCATCATCAGCAGCAGCATCATCATCATCATCGTCGTGCTCCTCCTCCTCTCTCTCCTCCTCCAAGGGCGCCAAACTTCGAGCTTCGCGCTGCGCGCAGCGCCTCTTTCTTTGTGCTCTCGCGCCGCTCCCCAGGGGAGAAGAGGAGGATGAGGAGGAGTCGGAGCCGAATCGCGAGGCGCGAAGCGCGAATAACTTCGTGCTCTCGCGGGCGCCCTCGGAAGCGTCCAGATCCTCCTCTTCCTCCTGTCGGTGCCCGCAACCCGTCTGCACCTCTGCAAGTGCGTCCTGAGAAACACGCGCTGGACGCCTGCCACGGTGTCCTGGACACTGCCCTGGGGAGATTCTTGTTTTCGTCGCGGCTGGGAGGGGGCGCCGACGCTGCCCCAGGGGCCCCCAGCAGGCGCAGGAAAGATACCTGTGAGGGCCATTGCAGCTCGCAGCCAAGGCCAACTTGCGCGGAACGCTCCAGCGAACCCTTGGGGCCACACTCGATGGGGCTGGGATGGGGCTCACCCTCCGGAGCGCCAGGCCTGGGCCTCGAGAGGCCCGCGGGTGCGTCTCCAGTGCCAGAGCCTCCCGGCCATCCGCGACGCCGCTGGGAGGGCAAAACCTCTGCGGCGATGCCGTCGGGCGGCGTCCTCCGAGGTGAACCCTGGCGAGAGAAAGGAGGAAAAAAGAGTGGATCAGGAGGGCTTTGAGGCGACCCCGACCCTCAAGTGCTCCCTCGCGACCGCGCCAAAGAGAAGAGAGAGAGAGAGAGAGAAAGATCATTGCTGCCCCTCCTGCCCTTCTCAGTTGATTGAGGGGCGACGCCCCAGGCAACATCAGAGCCAGTCACTGCGAGCCCGCTCAAGGAGGATACACTCAAATGCTGGCCGCCGTATCCGGGTGGGCTCTGCCAGGAAGGCGACGTCTCCGGTCCCGATCACAGCACCCGGCCAGACTCGGGATTGCCCCTGCATAGCCTGAAGGCTGGACCTGGGCGAGGACCCTCTGACGACGTCATTGATGGGCGCTGGCCGAAATTTCGTCCGATTGGGAACCATCGACACCCAAGAAAAAACAAGGGCACCCTGGAGGCAAGAAGGGTGTTTCGTTTGAGCAGGGGCCGACCGTCCCGGCATTCCTATAGTCCTACCACCACATGTTCTCAGAACCTTTAAATATTCGAATAACAAAAACAATGTTCTCAGAACACAAAACCACCGTGTTAAAACAAAACAATATCAACCAGAAATGTTCTGAGAACATCTCGTGGAAACCACCAAAGGTTCTTAGAACATTGTCTGGCAGGGCTATAGGCGAGCCGGGACGCTTCGCCACTGCTTGATTCTTGGCGTGGGCCTCCCCTGTGCAGGGCATGCCGTGGTCGGCGCTTCGCCCCGGAGATCTGGGCACCCCGTGGCCTTCGGGCCACGGCTCGGGCCTCCATGCGGCCGCCCGCAGCGATCCGGGCCCCCTCGGAATACTCGCGACGCGGCGCAGCGTCCCGAGAGGCCGGAAGACCGCCCCGAAAGTCCGAAAGCCATCCGACGAGGCCGAGCGTATCGAAAACGCAAAACCAGCGGAACCTTCCGAACACCATCAGACGAGGCTGAACATGCCTCCCGTCCGAAAGCGTCCAGAAAGCACCCCGAGGCTGGAAAGACCGACGGAGACGTCCGAAAGCCTCCCGTCCGGAAACGTCCGGAGAGCACCCCGAGGCCGGGAAGGCCGACGACCACTCGGCGGCGAGCCCCAGGGGGCAGCAGAGGTGGGCGGGCTCTCTCCGAGGAGACATGCGGCTCCTCCGAAGGCCCGAGGGCTTCCGAGAAGCCCCGCCGCCTTCCGAGAAGGCCTGCCCTGGGCGCGAAGCAACACGGGAGGCGCTGCACGGGGGAGGGGGGAAACAAAGGTGCCCCTTGCCGTCGCTCGGACGTCCACTTCCCGTGCACTCTTCGGTGTCGTGCGTGTTTTTTTTCGCTCGATGGTCCAGGATGGTCCTCGATGGTTCTCGCCGCGATGCCAAGGCCCGCCTCGGGCCCCGAAGGCCCCCCTCGGGGGACCAGAGGGGGAGCCCTGCAGGGCTCCTTGCGGCTGCCCCCTCCGCTGCCCCCTCCCTCGCACGGTGCGCCGCCCAGCTGCGTCCTCTCGCCTGCCTTCCCCCCCCCCCGTGCGCGCAGCCGACCGCCGCTGTCCCCCCTCCTCCTGCTCCTCCTCCTCCTCCTCCTCCTCCTCCTCCTCCTGCCCCTCCTCCTCCTCCTCCTCCTCCTCCTCCTCCTCCTGCTCCTCGTGCTCCTCCTCTCCTCCTCCTCCTCCTCCTCCTCCTCCTCCTCCTCCTCCTCCTCCTCCTCCCCCCAGGGGGCGGAGGAGGGCCGGCCGAGGCTGCGCCGGCCCTCCCTGGCCTCGCCCTCTCTCCGCCCTCGCCGCCCGACGTCGGGCATGGAGGGCATCGGGCTCCGCACCGAGCCGCGTCGCCGATGCATCGGCGATGCGGCGCGACCCTCCGACCTGCGGGCAACACTTATATCCATATCCAGAGTGTCTTGGACTGTTTGGGGAGGGGTGTCGCAAGGCCGAGGCGCACTGGAGATGGACAAGAGTCAAGCCTCTTGGGACCAGATATCTATCCATATCCAGTGCGCTTCTGCTTTCTTGGGAAGAGAGCCCCAAACTCCAAGCCGCACTGGATGTGGATATGAATACTGCCCGCACGACCCCATCTGCTCGGACTCCATCTGGGAGGCCTGGGCAGCTTGAGACAAGCGAGCCGGACGACGAAAACGCTCTGATGCAAGCACGTTGTCGGTATCGGGCTGGTGTTTCGTTCCTGTCGGGACTCTTCCGGGCGAAGCTGACTACTGATCCTGTGCATGCCAAGGCATGGATGCATTGCTCAAAAATGTGCTACATAAGACGAAACCAGGACGAGGATAGCATCGGGTGTGAGGATAAATCGAGAATCTCTGATATCTGGCGGCTCTGGAGGACGTCTCCGGCGCCACTGCCTTCTCAGAGCGTTCTGGAACACTCTGAGAGCGTTCTGGAACACTCTGGAGCGGATTTAGCCTCTTCCTAGCCCCGTCCGACTATAAGTACGAATGGAAAAAAACACATGCCCCGGCCCTCCCTACCTGAGCCTGGGTTTCCTGGCTTGGGGATGCCTTCTGAGCGGTCCCACGGATTCTTGGATCGGCGAACCCCCCTCGAGGATGCGCGGGCCGCGCCTGGGGCGGCGAGGAGGACGCGCCGCCAGGGGGGGGTCTGGCGCCGATCCAAAGAATATGCGCGGATCTCCTGAGTTTTTAGATGCCTCCGAGATGGGGATGGTATCGAATCGGCGATGCATAGGCAATGCATTGGCGATGCATCGGCGATGCAACAGTAACGTCGGCGATGCATCGGCGACGTCGGCGTGGGGAAGATCGGGCTCCACATCAAGCCGCATCGCCGATGCATTGGCAATGCTGCGCGACCCTGCGACCCAATCTACTCGGATCCCATGTGGGATGCCCAGAGCTTAGGCGCATGCCACTTTCTCTTCTCCGAGTGGAGGCCCGAAGTCGAAATCGCCCATCCGTTTCCGAAAGTCTCACGCTCAGGGCCCCGTAAACAAGGACTTTGATAAGCAAGGACGTCGGCGCATCCGGGGAAAGTGCTGCCGTTGGTCGATGCACTGTCCATCCTTCATTCTTTCCAGCTGGAATGTCCGAAATTATTGCTTGCAACGCCCTGGTTTCAAATTGGCATGCCCTGAAAGGGTTTAGGGAAAATGGTACGACACTGTTCCCAAATGGACTCGGTATCCACGGCGACACCTACAGCGAGCCCTTCTCTAGACAAGCGCGTTTTACTACTCGCAAAGGAGCTACGCGGCCTGGATCCGCCGCGGAGGGGATTTGCGATCCATTACATCGGGGCAGACGTGTGTTCTTCGGACGTTCGCGAGTAGGCACTTTGCGAATAGTGGAACGCGCTCGGTGATTGCCACAAGATCCAGGAACTGCTGCCGGGCTTCGTCTCCATTCTTTCCGTACCCATGTCGATCGCACCCATCAGAAAGGCCCTGACCTGCTGGCCTCAAGGCCAGCGAGCGCACATATACTGTGAGGGCACTGGATGAGGAACCGTTAGATGAGGAATCCAGGCTCTGAAGTCGGTGGAACACGAATTGAGGCTTGGCCACGGGCATCACATCCGCCATTGTCAGATAAGGGATCCTGTCGGAAGCTTCCTGTGCACATATCTTAACGATTTAGGCTGCGCGCCTGGGGGGGAAGTGAAAGGGGCGGGCCTTCTCAGCAGGCTCAGAAGATCCCCAGCCTCCTGATTAGTGTTCTGAGCCTCCCCAGAAGGCGCAGAGAACCCCTCAAAGGCCGGGAGGCGTCTGAGAAGCCCCACCCCCGACTTCTGACAAGGCCTCCTCATTCTCCTTCCTCCCATCGCTCGTCACCGACGATGACAACGACGACGACGACGACGACGACGACGACGACGACGACAGCGACGACGACGACGACGACGACGACGACGACGACATCGGCGGCGAAGACGACGACGACAAAGACCATGAGGAGGAGCAGGCGGAGGAGGAGGAGGAGGAGGAGGAGGAGGAGGAGGAGCAGGAGGAGCACGAGGAGGACGAGGCAGCAAGGCGGTTGCAGGACTACCTTCATCAAACTTGAAAGAAAAAAGAGGCAGTAGAGGTGGAGGAGGAGGAAGAGGAGGAGGAGGAGGAGGAAGAGGAGGAGGAGGAGCAGGAGGAGGAGCAGGCGGAGGAGGCGAAGCAGGACCACGCGCCTCGCGCCGCCGAGGGCGCCCGAGGCGGCCACTGCCCGCACCCCCTGCGGGAGCCGCCCTGGCGCCTCCGGGGCCTCCTGGGGCCGCCCTGGCGTCGCGCGCGTCGCGCACCGCTGGCGTTCGTCCTATGCAGTCCGGGCCTTGACCTAAGGAGCCCAAAATAGGGAACGAGGTCCCTTTTTTTTCCAAAAGCTCAACTTCGATTCCCGATCGACAACATAAGGAACACCTGAGGCAAGCTGCGAAACGATTAAGGAACACGGAGCCCCTCCCCAACGAAAAGGGTTCCTTCTTCAGGGCCCCGACTGTATGGCAGCCCATCTTTCGGCGGCGAGCGAGGGGGGGAACGAAGGCGATCCCGAGGCGCCCAGGGGCACCGCAGCTGTCCCCAGCTTCCCTTTTCCTCCTCTTCCTCCTCCCCGTCCTGCCTCCTCCTCGGGATCTGCCCTCCGAGAGTTGTGATGCTGGTCTCTTTTGGTGGTGCGGTGTCGTGTCCGAGGTGCCCTGGCGGGATGTCGCCCCCCGTCTGCGAGGGGGGGAAGCGAGAAGGGGCGGGCCTTCTCAGCAGGCTTCGGAGCCCCCCGGCCTTCTGAGAAGTTTCTGGAAGAAGCAGCAACGGCAGAACACACACCAACTCTTGGCGCTACGCGCGGATTTCTTGAACCTGCGCTGGACCCCCCCTCCCTGGCGCGCGGAGCGCGCCGAGGGCGTCGCCAGAAGCGCCGCCAGGGGGGACCAGGGCGGATCCAAGAAATCCGCGCAGAGCGCCAGAAGTTGATGTCTATGGCGCTTTCTCTCACTCGAGTCTTCTGAGCCTCCCCCGGAGACACAGAGAGCCTCTCAGAAGGCCGGGGCCTTCGGAGAAGCCTCGCCGCCTTCTGCCCGCGCCGAGGAGGAGGAGGCGGAGGCGGAGGCGGAGGCGGAGGCGGAGGCGGAGGAGGAGGCGGAGGAGGAGGCGGAGGAGGAGGAGGACGAGGAGGAGGAGGAGGAGGAGGAGGAGGAGGAGGAGGACGAGGAGGGGCCCCAGGGGCCGCCCGAGGCACCCCAGGGGCCACTGGGTGTCTCTGGGGGTTCCCTGGGCCACCCTTTGTCGCGCGCCGCGCACCGCGGTCGGCCGTCCTGCGAGGCGGACCTCGGAAGCCCTGCCTGCACCAGAAAAAAACGTTGTTGCATCTCGTGGGAGATCGGCGTTTGACTTCCGCCGCCTCCCGCCAGCTCTCCGCCGACGTCTGCCGCCTTCCGCCGGCGGAGGCGGCCTCGTGCTACTTCCGCCAACCTTCCCGCCGCCTTCCGCCGCGGAAGAGATGGCAGCTCCGTCGATCCTCGGAGGCAAGGCCCATTTTTGGAACGCCCCATAAGGCAATCTATCTTGGTCAATGCTGGGCCAGTTATCCACCACCGCTACAATTTGTTTTGACACCAAGACCAAGCGAACTGGAATCAATCTCACGCACCGACCGCCGTCGGAGGCAGAGGCAGGGAGGGTGGGGAGGTCCTCCTCCTCCTCCTCCTCCTCCTCCTCTTCCTCCTCCTCCCTCTCCTACCTGTGGCAGAAGGTGGTGGAAAATCGGTCCATCAATCAGAATGTTGGCGGATCGGGGGCAAACAGCGGGACATAGTAACAACTGGCTAGCGACAAAATAGCAGCGCACGCCCCGCGCCCACCGTCCACTTATCACCCCCCTGATCGCCGCTAACGAAAAAAGGTTCGGTGACATTCAACGACTCCCGCAAAAACAGCTGCAGCCCCGTGCTGCGAGACGCGCAATGATCTTGGCGCCTTCGCGCCGCCCCCGTATCAAAGGCCGGCCGCTCCGGTTCGAACCGCGACGCGCGAAGCGCGGCTCTCTTCGCGCCCCGGTTGGGTCCCCAGGACGACCCAGATGGCCCCCAGCGCGAGGCGGGGATCTGTCCATATCCACCGCCTGGGAACCGACGTCCTGGTGCCCCAGCGGGGTGTAAATAGTTATGGATATGTTTTGGCCCCCCGGGACCCGAGTATACAGTATATCCATATCCACCGCCTGCCGAGGTCCCCGAAAACTGATCCTCCAGGCGGTGGTCATGTATAAATTCCCGACTCGGACCCACAAGAGGGCTCCAGAATGCTACAAAAGCCCCAAAAGAGCACGAGGAGCGTGAAGGCACATCGCGCCAGGACCACCTCCGGCAACCTCCGAGCGGTGGGGAGGGAAGGGGAAGTGACGCGAGCAAAACTTGCTGATCTTCGCGCTCTCGACGCTGACCATGGCAACAATAACCAACTTCGGCGCTGCACTCCCAGCATATTCCGGGGGACGCGTGACGACTGAGACCACAAACAAGGCGTGGGAACTCGTCGTCTCCACAATCGCGTCCTGTTGCTTGTCCCAGTAGGACGATGTCTCCATGTAGATAAGCCCGTTATCTTTGGCATATGCCTGCAACGAAAGGGACGTGCAAAGATGGGCTTGAGAAGCCGCAACAGTACAGGAATGGAAAGGAGGACCGTGAAATGGAAGAGTGAGAATAAGGGTAATGCTACGAAAGACCGCGCAGAGCACCAAGGAGTGGAAGAAGCGAAGAAAAGGGAATCAACGCGCGAGACGGTGGATCTGACGAGCTATAAGCGAAGGTACGCGGGTAAGCGAGCGGAAAAAAGTGGCAGCAGCTGCGCAAGGTCGGGGCCTGGGCTCTCTCCAGTGGAACTTCTCGCCTGTCTCGCAGGTCTGCCTGGTGTTAGCTCAGGCGAGTGGACAAGTAACTGCCCTCGTGTCTTCCCTTCCCGCCATCACCCACGCAATCCCACCTCTATTCACCACGCCATCGCTCTCCACAACGGACCGAGCGAATCGAGTCCTGACCGAAATCGTCGTGTCATCGTGTCTCGTGTCACCTCGTTATGCCTTCGTTCCGCCTTTGCCACACCATGATTTTTTTTGTATCGATCAACGAAATCGCCCAAACACCGTTCAGCTCGAGCCCTGACGTCCCATGATGCACCAAACGCTTCACGCCTCCTCCTCCTCCTCCTCCTCCTCCTCCTCCTCCTCCTCCTCCTCCTCCCCCTCCCCCTCCTCCCCTTCCTCCTGCTCCTCTAGAATCCCCAAGCCACCAATGAGCTCCTCGAAGACACGTGTGGTGGTGGGCCCCTCTTCTCCAACGGCAGCGCCGACTGTCTGGAGGTGCAACACATAAACCGCAACGTCAGCCTGAGACCGCGTGCGGCTCACGGCGTGCTACTCCGAAGCCCTGCGAGCGTCGCATGGCAAAGCCCTGCAGTCAGACTGGACCATCGGAGATCAGAAGCGGCGCTAATTCGATCGCACGGGACCCCTTGTCATCCAACCCTCTGGGGCGCACCATGAGACACCCTAACCTCAACGCTCCTCGCACACGTCACACCCCGTACGCTCCCTGTCATGTACGCCAGCCTCGTGCTTCGACAATCACGGCTCCACATACTCTGAGACAAACAAGACTACGAATGGTGGCGCAATTTAAATGCTCATTGAACGATACTATGTCCACTTGCACGCATCAGCGGAACCTCCGATAAACAACGCATGCGCAACCCTACACTATCGGCTGAAATACCATACCAAACCTTGTGACAATTTGAATCATACCAACACGTTTCAAACAAACAACTGCACTATGACACGTCGAACCAACAATAACTAGACGCAGCGGAGTCAATCGCAATCTCATTGCGCCCTCACGCGCAATCGCGACGACCCAAATACAACTTCGGGAAATCATGGCGGGCCCTTTCTGGCTATGATGTCATACGCGTGCATTCCAGCCCCTTCGGGCCAACCTCGCCCGACAACGCTTCTTCTCTCGCAAGCGTATGCAGCGTGACCGCCACTGGCAGCTTCGGCAGTCTGGGTATGGCTCCCTACGATGTTGCACTGGGGCATGGGATGGCACTCCCAAATGTTGTAACACATCGCACCCAATAATAAACTCGTGTGTTGAGAGACGACGCCGTCGGAACTCGCGCGCGAGACCGGCCTTTGTGCCCACCAACGCCACTACCACGTTGGGGTCAGTGTTTTCCCTAAGCTCCGCGAGCCACTTGTCGACGTTCGAGAAGGATCCGCTTCCTCCGATCTGAATCGAAGCTCCTCCCGCCGATGTGATCACTCTGCCCAGAATCCCTTCAGGAAAGGAGGGGAGAGAGGAGGAGGAAGAGGACGAGGAGGAGAACTGGCAGCAGGGAGCGGAATCCAACCCTCACTCGGGGCAACCCTTCTTGAGGTCGCAGAACTAGGGGACAGGATAGGGAGAGAGAACGCGTAAGAAAGAGAGTGCGAGAGGGAGGGGGGTCGAGAGAGAGGGAGAGAGAGAGAGTGAGAGATTAAGAGAGAGATATAGAGAGGGATATCAAGAGAGAGAGAGAGAGAGAAGGAGAGAGAAGTGAGTGAATAAGGGGGAACAGGGGAGAAAGGCGAGGGAAGGAGGTGATGGAAAGGAAACTTCGATGGTGGGCCAGAAAATATCCGTGTCGTTCTTCCATTCTGGCTCTCCAGCTCTCCTGTGCCCTCTTCGATCGCCCCGCTAAACAAAAACAATCATGCCCTGCACGACCGCACAAACCGCCATACACGGAATAATAGGCCCTATGATTCCGTGTATCCAATACACGGAACAATCAGCCCCTTGTATTCCGTGTATGTACTCTGTGTATCGGGTACACGGAGTAATATCGACTACCCGCAAGGGTGACCCTGGGCAAGAGTGACTTTTGGTGCGCGACTTGTTTGGGGCCGTGGGGGGACCAAACACAAGCGCGCGAGACGCTACTATCGCATCGCGTTCGGCGATCGGGGGATCCCAATGGGCCCGCACCACAAGTCACTCCAGCGAAGGGTCACTGGTCACTCTTACGTGCACTCGATAATAAAGCTATATTACTCCGTGTATGTCGGCGCCAACAAACGTCCAACCGATGTCACATGTAATATTCGATGTCTGTCACTTGCCGTGTTGCTTGCCGTGCCGCCGCGTTGCAAGGTACACGCTTCGATGGCAACCTGTTGCCTCTTTGTTGCATCCACCCTACGAATCGAACGTGCTGTAAACGAACACCCGCCAACCGTGCCACAACAACGCTGCAACGCCCAACTTGGGAAACCTCCACATTTTAGGACTGAAATCCAGCAAGCCTGGGAGCCTCAAACATCTGGGAGACACTTTCCTGCTAGCGTGTTAGTCTTATTAGACAAAAGGACAGCGCAGCACAGCCCAAACGCGCGAGCGAACCATTCGACGGACACATACCAGTAAGCAAATGGCCCGCTCGGAGAACCCGGGTCTAACACATACGCATATGAGACATGTTGTTGTCCACGAAGACAACAAGGGGGGCACATCGAGAAATCCGTTGCCCATTCAGGAAGGCTGTCCCGAGACAAACGCGCACTGCAAGTCGCAAGAACGCGATGGGGGAAACTGCGTGGCAAGCTAGGCTGTCGCAACTGCGACCAGGCAGTGCGACAACACTGACATCACGATGCCGATGAGAAGGGAGGCGGCAGAGATAGAGAGAGACAGGAAAGGGGGAGGAGGAGGAGGAGGAGGAGGAGGAGGAGGAGGAGGAGGAGGAGTAGGAGGAGGGGGAGGATGAAGAGGGGAAACACTGCCAAACATCTGGCGTCAATCACCGACGTCCACTCGTGAGATATGCACTTTGGACCTTCTCAGCCGCACCTGGACAAGCTACGATTCCACCACATGAAGAGGCCGAACCTGGAGCCAACAGCGAACTGAGACCGTGCTGTGCGGAGCAAGGCCGCCTGTTCTCCTTCGCGACGCGAGCGACGGTCTGGGAAGGTCTGGGGGAGGTCCGGGGGTTCCGCCGTCGAGGGGGCCCTCCAGGCCTGCGGCCTCCCGGGGCCCGCCACGGGCGCCGCGGGCTGTCAGAGGCCTGCTCAGGGGAGGCCTCGGGGCCCAGAGCCTGCTCACGGGAGAAGGAACAACAAACAAAACAGGACGACCAAGAAAGGGACCTCGGACATCGGATCAGCTGCAGCGAACCGCGAGGGCCCCGCACGAGGGCACGGGAACGCGAACCCGTAGGCGGGTGGGCAGCCGTAAGCAGACAGCGATTGCAGAGCTGGCGAGTAGCGCGTCAACTGATAATAATAACGCGGCTTGGAGGCACGCCGAGTCTTCGAATAACGCAATCTCTCCCGGGGTGAGGTGGCCGTCTCGGCCTTATATGGAACGAGCTACTCAGACAGCTCAGGCGCGTCAGCTGAGCAGGGAAGGACAGCTTGGCGGCGCGCACGCAAAGGGGCAGGGTGAGGGGGGAAGGTTTCTGAGAAGGAGGCCGCTTCTTCGAAGGCGCGGGCCCTATATCTACAGGCAAAGCCCGCGCCTTCTGAGAAGCAGAAGTGTTTCTAAGAAGCCTGCCCCACCTCCCCCCATGCCCCCCCTTTTCTGCGCGTGGCCGAAAAACGCCGGACCAGGACGAGGCCGGACGGGAAACCAGCTGGCGCCACCTTCGAGGTGTCGCTCGCCGCGGGTGACCACGAGCGGCGCCGCCCACGGGGCGACACATCCCACTGGTCACCCACATGCCACTTTGCTTGATGCAGAGAAGGCGGCTGGCGGACTGAGGAGTGGCCGAGAGAGCGAGAGAGAGAGAGAGAGAGAACAAAACAAAACAAAGAGCGAGAACGGATCGCACGGGGGAGGGGGGGGGGAAGGCTTCTTAGAAGGAGGCCGTTTCTTGGAAGGTGCGGGCCTATATCTACAGACAAAGCCCGCGCCTCTCGAGAAGTAGAAGTGTGTATAAGAAGCCTGCCCCCTCCCCCATGCCCCCCTTCTGCGCGTGGCTGAAAGGGGGCAAGGAGGGGAGACGAGCAAAAGCATCGCATGTGCGCGTGCATTTTCCGCCGCTCACCTGTCCATGAGTTATGTTGCGTCCTCGGGGGGGCTATGGGCATCGTCTTATCTATATCACACGCTGGATGAACGCACAAGCAAGCTTCAGTGGCTGAACCACACTTGGGCAAACAATTCACTGGCATCGCTTCGCCCGGTCTCACATCGAGGAGGGGGCAGCGCATCTTAGAATGATGCGGCACTGTGCGGAATCACTATGCACAATTATTGCCCCGCGGTCGCGGCTCTACAAATGGCCAGACACGCCCGCGACATCTCGGCGCTCGCGCAGCGCGTGGTGACATGGATTTGCAAGTCCGCCGCGCCGAGCAGCGCGGCTCGGCCGCGCGCCGCTCTGCCGGCGCCGCCAACGCTGCTGGATCAATCGGCGAAAGAGAGAGGGCGGGCGGGGGCGGCGCAGAGGCGGGCGAGAGGAGCGGGAGGAGGGGAGAAGGATTCAAACACAGAAGGCCCCGCCGATCTGTTTATGGGCGCCTCCGTCGACGCGGCCACCGCGCGCGCGGGCCCGCGCGGGCTTGCCTCGCGGCGGTCGCGGCTGGGCGCCCGCGGGCGACGTGGAAGGCGGTCGGTCCGAGCGGGCCCGCGGCGGGCGCGCTAGGCGCCGCGGCGCGAATGGCAGATCCCAGGGCGAGGTCTGCGGGCAGATTCGCCGGCGCGGAGGAGAGGGGGATGAAATCGGACAGTGGGCCGTGGACAGAGCGAGGGGAAGCGAGGCTCCGCCAGGCAAAGTCCAGCACCGCCCGGCGCGCCGCGCAATGACCAATGGAGGCCTCGCGGGCGCGCCCTGGCGAACATCGGGGACCGCGCGCCATCCGTTGAAACAAACGCGCAGGAGAACGTCTCGGACCCGCGGCGGGGCAGCTGGCCCGAAGACGAGCGCGACGCGACGCGCGCGCGGCCGGCGCCGGAAAGAACGAGGCGCCAAGGCATCAGCCGTCGCCGCCAGAAGCGCTCATCTGCAGCTGGCGCCGTCTCCTGCAGGATGATTAGACGGGTCCGTCAGAGAGGTCCGCACATGGCATCTGAGGCCGATCATTACTTCCGCTCGGGGTGCCCCATGCCATGTTTGAACGGCCCCGGCGCCCTGTCGCGGAAACCCGAAGCGTCGGGATTGGCAAAGCGACGACGGCGGCGACGCGGGTCCCCCTGCGAATCGCGGCGACGGAATCGCACGGGAACGATTCGATGTTACATCCCGTGGTCAAGACGGCGCGTGCTCCGCCGTTTGGGTGCTTGCGCCGCGCGGCGTCGGCGACGCCGCCCGCTCTGCGCTCGCGATCAGCTACGCTTGTCGCCCAATCGCAGCGGCATGTTCCAACGCCTCGCGCGTTGGCGGGTCGGCAGACAATGCGGACGGGAAGACGCTGGCTGAAATATCGACAAGATGAGACACTCACTGACTGAAAACCAGACAGGGTGCCGCTATCAGGTCTGCAACATGACAACTTGGACGCGCAGGCGCGCGCGCGATGCAGGTGCGCAGTAAGGCACAAGAAAATGGCAGCAATTGTTCGGGCGGAGACACGCAGGAGAATCCTATCACGCGAGGCACTATGCTGATGCACCGCAGAGTGCAAAATCACGCTCATAATGTTTAACATATCCCATCGCAAATTGATCTACTCAGTCCCAGGAGCAGGAGAAGAGGTGATCCCGCCGAACGCTGATGCCTGCCCGGTGCGCTCCTCGTGGGTTTGGAGGCTCGGCCGTCGCTCGGCCTCCAACGTCAGCTGGGGCGTTGTCTGAAGCGAGCGCGGGCGCCTGGCTAACCGCGTCGGCTGGGTCGCAAGCAAATTCGGTGCGGCGCGCGTAGTTAAAATAATCTTCGTCAACCCATCAACCGACGTCGCCCCCGCGCTTCCATGTAACGGCCTCGTCGACAATGATGTCGCGCATGCCCATTGCTCTCAGAAAAAAGGATCATATTTGCGACGGTAATGCGGCAAACCCCTGCCAGCGTCACCTCGCATCCTGGATAACCCCATTCCGGCGCTCGGGTTGTCCAGCCACCTGCCCCCCTTGAACCGCACGTGAGAATCGAGAGCGGGCGGCCATGCCTGCCCGCGGACCGCCTATCCGAATTCTGCTCCCGTGGCGAGCACTCGGCGCATTAACGGTGGAGCGAACGGCCTCGGGTCGATTGTGCGATGCGTTCTTGATAACTCGACCTTAAGGGCGGTGTGGTGCCAA